GGAGAGACATGATCATCTACGTGCTAAAAGGACAGGACACATAAAAGAATAAACAAATCGGTTACTTCAGTTTCGCTAAAAACGTTTTAATTATCTAGATCAATCATTACCAAACTGCGGCCATTTCATCTTTCTGGGTGTAGTATACTTATTTTCTTAAGGAAAATAACGTTTCTTAAAATTGTGTTTTGATTCGTCCTCACTTTCACAAACAATGATTAAGAATAATCTGTGTTGAATTTTGTAACATTTTCCTCATTTTAAACCTTTCGCAATTTTCACTAAGGAAGATCATACGTGTAAAGATATGTTGCTTTTGAAACAGGAAACATTCATATGTTTTTATCTAGAAACAAATGTTCTTTTTTTTATTTTCTAAAGAATAGATTAAAAATAAATCACACGTAGCGATATGTGTCATTCTAACTGTCATCAGTGATAATATTATAGCAAGATTTCAATTTTTAAAAAGAGGAAAATCTTTTCTTCAGTAAATAGTAAAATAAATGAACTTATATTCCATTTCTAAGATAAATGCTTACGTATATGGTCTTCTGTAGTGAAGATAGCTGAGGGATCTACTACGAAAAAAATTACCTTTAATCATTATCTTTTATTAGTGAGACCCGCCTTGTTATAAATCATAGATCATGCGGACCGCTGCTCGAAAAGCTTTACCCATCCTTAATCGACGTGAAAACGTCTACAAATTCTACAATTAAAAAATAATTACAACTGGGGGTTTCAATGTCAGCATTTAAAGATATGAAGTTTGCTGGTAATTTGCAGATATTTTAAGTTGGAAATAAATAAGAATATCACTTAAAACGTTTACTTGATTACTTTAATTTAGTGCTTCGTTTAACTTATAATTATTCTCAGAAAACGCAAATAATAGCAAGTGCATTATTTAAACAAATCCGCTATAAATAATCAACAGTTTCTTTTATAACAAAGTAAGATTTTTTTTTACATTTTGTGACCTTTTCTCAGTTGAAGATAACCTTAATATAAACATTTCACTTTGTTTATTTCAAAAATGACAACGTTCATTTCTCTACTGGATTATTGAATGCCATTCATCATCTTCAGGTGAACATTTTCCAATAAAAAAAGTAATGTACATGAGGGCCACAAAATCCATGGAATTTTAAGGAAAAATGTCGGTGTTGGTGTTGCAGAATATGATGGTGCACTGCAGGAATAGATATAATCAAGACACTGGCGAAGGAGAAAAATCTGCTCTAATAGTTGGCTAAATTTACGTAATAACTCTTACAAATAATTTGCATTGAAATTAATAATAAACTTGCATAAATTTGCATCATTTCAAGTTTTTCACATTCGATTTAATATTCCCAATCCAGTTTTATAAGGTTTGAAAAACTCTCAAATAAGTAACATCCTAATCGATTTACTGTTTTAAACCATGAAATAAGTCGCGAAGTAATTGTTTTAAGTAACGCTGTTAATTGAATTAAAGGCTTCGTAATTAGTTGCAAATAAAATAAAGATTTAATTACATGAAGGCTACTAAAACATTATTGGTTCATCTAAGAAGATAAAATAAACGTTGTTTGCTCAGATATTTTGAGCTAAGTAATACCTAATTTCCTGGACAGTGAATGTTGGACAATCTATTCGCAGATGAATAGACTTAAGGCTGTAGATATGCTGTTTCTACCGATAAATGCTAAGGATATTATAAATAGAACGTGTGAGCAACAAGGAAGCCTTATGGAATTACACAGGAAACCTATTCGTACAATCAGACAGAAACGGATGAAATTACTGCGAGATATAG